AGTAATTATGCAGACAAGCTGTAGCACTCAATCTTGCCGTACCCTCCCTAAACCCTAAACCCTAAACCCTAAACCCCTAAACCCCTAAACCCCTAAACCCCTAAAACCCTAAAACCCTAAATTCTAAGCCCTAAACCCTAAACCCCTAAACCCTAAACCCTAAACCCCTAAACCCCCAAAAACCTAAACCCCAAACCCTAAACCCCAAACCCTAAACCCTAAACCCCTAAACCCTAAACCGCTTGCTTGCAGTGGCTTCGACGCCCGATTCCGCTCTCTATCTTCGATCATCCCGCGAGTGGCGTCCGCAGATTTGTAAAATACTCGGGTTTAGGGCTTTAGGGCTTTAGGGCCTTAGGGCTTTAGGGCTTTAGGGTTCTAGGGCTTTAGGGTTTTAGGGCTTTAGGGCTTTAGGGTTGTAAGGTTTTTGGGTTTTAGGGTTTTAGGGCTTTAGGGCTCTAGGGCTTTAGGGGTTTAGGGCTTTAGGGCTTTAGGGGTTTAGGGTTTTAGTGGTTAGGGTTTAGGGTTTGGGGTTTTGGGGTTTAGGGGTTTTAGGGTTTAGGGGTTTAGGATTTTAGGGCGTTAAGGTTTTAGGGTTTTGGATTTAGGGTTTTAGGATTAAGGGTTCTATGTGCCCAGTCCTTCCAAAAACCCTTCATTAAGATTTTATACGTTAAATTGTGGTAGGATCCATATTATATTTTATGCTGATTTGACGTATATTCCTTGATTCAGGGATCTTTCAAGGTCTGGGTAGTTCTCTATATTAGGGTTAGAGTTTAGGGTTTGGGTTCCTTAAAGGGATCTGTAAGGGCTTCTATAGGGTTTCTATATGGGTACTGTAATAACAAGGGCTCTCTGTCGGTAGTTCTCTGAATTAGGGTCCCCCAAAATACTTCGGGCACCTTTACAAAAAGGCCCCTAAACGGGACACTAATTTAGAGAACCACCCATCTGGTAATCTACTTGTGAGGTTCGGGCTTAGGGTCTATAGGGTTGCGGGGTTTGGGGTTTAGGAGGGGTTTAGGGGTTCGGGGTTTAAGGGGGTAATATACTGGTGTGGTCCCCAGAGGGTCCAAAGATACTGCCATTCTGAAACTACAGGCCCCACAAGACCATTCAAAGCACGGTTTTGTGGGACCTAACTCCATAACCTAAGGGTCCGATGGAACCCTAAGCCCTAAACCCTAACGCCTGAAGTCAAAGGGCCAGGTGCCAAAAACCCTAAACCCTAAACCCTATTCAGAGTATGCTGAGTAAAAGCTTGGACCCTGTAGGAAAGCTACGAGTGAAGGTTCGAGGTACGCTGTGGGCTTTAGGCTTTGGGATTAGGGTCGAAGACTCTAGGAACCCAAAGGGTCCAAGTTATAGCAGAATATATACTTTGGGGGCCCAAATACCTACAAAGTAGCTACCATATTAGTACTTGGACCCTTGGGGGAAGTGTTGCAGGATCTTCCCGTGCGGATCCTATGTTAGATCCCAAGTTCCAGGGTGATTTTCACTACAATCCACTACTAGGCATGCAGCAAACACTGAACAATTGATAATACGGGTGCCCAGGGCGCTCTATCTAGCCTGAAACTAGAAGGTTCAGGGTTTAGGGTTTAGCAGGTGTGTTGTGATGTTGTGCTGCCGCAATTGTGAGTCTGGTAAAGAACATTCCTCCTTGCTCGTGGGGTCTGGTGCTCTTTCGGTATAGACTCGGCTACCCTAAACCTTAAACGCTAGACTCCTAAACCGCTAAACCGTAGACCGTACCAGCACCCCCGAAGTACCCTCTGATCGAACCTTATGGTCCCGAATAAAGGCTATCCGGGTAGTTGGGGGTTTAGGGTTTAGGGTTTTGAGCATCGGTATGAACAGCACTCGCAGTAGTCTTGCCAGGTCTGCACTGATCATGGTTTGTTCTATGCCTGACGGCATGGGACATCTTGAGACCATTCCATTCACGGCCGAAAGACACAAGTACACTAAAGTGCCTGCGAAACGGTTACTTTGCCGAAATCCCGTACTTCCGTGGAACCGTTTGGATCTGTTGAAGTCCTCATCCTCGCGGAGAGCCCGATAGACGAAGCGCGGCACTGTGTTCTTGAGGCAGAGATCCTCCTTACATGGGCTTGGGGTTTAGGGTTGGGATTGGATCCCTGGTCCCCAGCCCGACATCGCATCAGAAACACTGCCTCCGCCGTTACGCCGTGGGGCCTCAGCACCCTTTAGCCCGAATCCTATGAAGAGGGCCGAGCCGCGAAGTAGGATCCGTTGTAGATGCCTGCAATAGCCATCGTCATCGGCGCAAATTGGAGCGGAGCAGGGCTATCCTTCGGTTCTACGATTTGGGTCCTAAGGCATGCGATGCATATACCTAACTGAAGGCTGAAGGTGTGCTGCGCCATTGTTTTCTTGCCCTGGACTTCTGTGGCTGGCTAGGAGTCCTGCTCTTGTCATGTGCCGCCATGACGGCACTACCGCAGCCTTGAAGAAAATTGCTGCCCCGTACACACAAAACCTCCCTGATCTCACCCATTGAGTGCATCGGCTAGCAACAGTTGGTGACAAGACGTCAATCGCAGCATCCTCAATCGTCAGAATGCCACCAGCTCAAATCGAGCATCGCGCCTCCTTGTAGATGCTCCGACCACGCTTGCAGCCACACCTGCGCAGGTCTGGACTCCAAACCCTAGACCTTCTACGGCTTCAGGTTGTTAGAGGTTCGGGATGACAGTTTCGGATCTAGCATTTACGGGTTGTTGTTGGTGGCTTAGGGCTGAAGGTTTGGAGTTAAGGGTTCCGCGCTGAGTTGGCAGTGTTCTTATACTTAGTCCTTTCAAGCAGGAGTTTGGATTCGGATGCAAGAAGCACAGCAGCAACATCGTTCTTGTCAAGACTCAGGCTATGGCTGCTTCGACCACTGTTGCTAGTCTTGCTGATGTTGCTCGTACCCAGATCTTCCAATATCCCTGAATTAAGGGATAATCCCTTAAATTTTAGTAGGATCCCTGATCTGATTTAAGGTAGATGTAGTCCCGCAGGAAAGGATTTCGGAAAATCTGAGCACCAGGTAAAAAAAGACATCACTACAAAGCCCTGGACTTCCTGTGATTCCACGAAAGAGGCAGGCATTACCCTGGCCCTAGCCGCCCTAGCTGTTTCGTTCTCAGTTCCTCGCTAGCAATCCCAACCACTCTCTTTCTAGACTCTCGAACGAGGCCCACACTGAGGAAGAGTAGGTAGGTTTGACGAGCTACATTCTGCTGAGCACTTCTGCCTACATGGATACAGATACATATATACGTAAATATATATATATATGTATATATACATATATATATATATATAACATGTATGTATGTATGCATATATACATACATACATACATACATACATACATACATACATACATACATACATACATACATACATACATACATACGCTCCTCTGCAGTTCGGCTCGGCAAGTGCTTTCTTTCACCTGCTCACAGGGGTAGCGGGTGACGAAGAGGAAACATGAGTCCTCGAACCAGGAGTGGATCACACACACACACACAAGAACAGAAGCGATCTTGAAAGTGGCAGACCTAAAACATGAACTTATAGAAGCCTTAGTCACCCCGACTGTCGCCAAACCCCGAAACCCCAAAGCTTCCCTCACCCATATAAAAAATGAAACTATCGCCTGCAGCTCTTAAAAAATCCTAGACCTTACAACCCTATTTAAATCCCCTGAACCGTAGACTGAAGCCCTTAATCCCAAACGCACTTGGCCTTCAACCTAGCAGTCGTCCCTGTAGGCCCGAAGCGGCGGGCAAAGGGGGCCGATTCGAAGCGTCGTGCCTGGGCCACTTTCGGGGCAACTGAGGTTTTTGCCATCGTTTTCGGGGTGAGTACTCGGAGAGTAAGGACTTAAGCCGTTATTCTGGGGGGGAGCGTTGCTAGATGCTCGACATGGATCCCAACTCCTCCGCCGCCTGTTGACGAGAAAATAAGCTGCATTTTCACATCCTCCAGCACTCCAGGCCAAAGCATATCTATGACGAGTCTGATGAAACCGTGGCAAAGAAAGTATGGCGGCACACTGTCATGACTCAATGGCCAAGACATGACAGAAGAGTTGCTACAGCTGTTTTTGTAGGCAAACCTCACAGAACCGCACAGCAGCTTTCCACACTCCACGGGCAAGCCGTCTGCAGAGCTCCAGGAGCCTGCTTGCCTATGTGACTTCGTGAGCCAAAGGCGGGAACAAGCCTCATTGGGCTTTTAGGGTGCCGCTACGCCACTGAGCCGCTAAGCAGAAAGTCCGACCCGTCATCGTACACGACATGGCCGGGATCACCTAGGGATGCCTGTACAGCAACATGGACCTTCGAAGGTTTAAAAACTTGCTGCTGCAGGCCTGTACACGGTCATGCTCGCGCAAAGATTAGCACGAAGCTCGCTGCAAACTCACTAAACAATCGTTCGTAAAGCTTGCGAGCGGCTCCTGTACACCTCGCCCCAAGTAAAAAAAACTAGAGGGGCCCTTTACATGCCTTCCATGCAGGAGGTTGGCTTCATGACATGGCAGCGTGGAGGTGCAGTGCCCGAGGTTGGAGGCCCAGGGGACTTAGTAAGTAGGTTATAACTGGAGTTATAGGTACCCTAAATGGAGTTACCCCAATTATAACCCTTAGGGTTTAGGGTTTAGGGTTTAGGGTTTAGGGTTTAGGGTACTTAATAACCGACTTACTAAATCCCCTGGGCCTCTAAGTGAGGTTTCTGGAGATTGGCGTGAGCATGGCAGGATCCCTGGGGCCGTGCCCTTGACATAGGCAACGAGCATGGGGGGGGGTTCGAAACTAGGGGACCCTAATATAGTACCCTAAATAGCAGGGTCCTTTAATTATAAGGACCCCAGGATATAAGGTACCCTAACTAGTAGGATCCTTTAGTTATAAGGACCCCCCAAGATATAAGGTATATACCCCTAACTTTTCGGAAACTCCCCCGACGGACCCCGGAGGCCTACAGAGATCCCTTGCTCTGCTTCTTGCGGAGCTTCGCCAACTTCCGATTCTCAAACCTCCGCTTGCCCAGCTCCCCATCTGCACAGAGGTGGCAGTGGAGACACTCTGCTCCCCTCAAGCCTCGGCTAGGGTTTAGGGTTTAGGGTTTAAGGGCTGAGGGTTGAGAGTTGAGGGTTTTAGGGTTTAGCGTTTTTAGGCCTCTGAACAGTATAATTTTGACATCCTTCTCGATCACATACCGCACCAACATTAAACATTACACGAAATGCTCCTATACCGAACTTCAATGTCGAAATAATGATCCTCACGGATGTGTTTCTACTCCTCCACAGAGGTGCAAAACTATGTTCAAGAATGGCTAAACCCTAAACCCTAAACCCTCAACCCCTAAATCCTAAACCCTAAACCCTATATCCGAAACCCTAACCCCTAAACCCTAAACCCTAAACCCCTAAACCCTCAACCGTAAACCCTATAAACCCAAAGAGTGGCGAGTTGCAGCTGCCAGGTCTCCAGTACCAAGCACAAGGTCGACAAAGCTTCGCCTCGTGCAAAGAGGAGCCGAGAGACTCGGAGGGCTGCAGGGTTCCTGGGCGTCGATGTTTGGGTTTAGGGTTTGGGGTTTAGGGTTTAGGGTTTAGGCTTGTTCCTGGGCGTCGATGTTTGGGCTTAGGGCTATTTTGGCGTGGATCTTTTCGGGGGGGTTATGAACGGATATACCTATAAAGTAAGGAGATTCAGGGAATGATGCTTTGAAAGGGTTTAGGGTTTCTGGGTGTCGAGTTCAACGGGTTCAGCACCGGTCTTTGATGGTTTCAGGGTCTGGCTTGCTGTCGTCGTTCAAGTGTGGCCTCTTGTACCACCGGTGAGGTTTAGGGCCCAGGCTTTGGGTTTCGGGGTTCTACATGAAACCAATAAGAGACATCAGCCACTGTCCCAAATTTAGGGTTTAGGGTTTAGGGTTTAGGGTTAAATCGGTGCCAAGATTCCCATGGTCGTTGTGCTTGTGCCACTCACCGAGTGCGGTGACCCGGGAGCCGTGGCTCCTGTGCGCTCGGTATGGAGCACATCGTCGCCTGTGACCTCCTCTTCAAGCAACCATGAACCTAGTTCATGGTTGGGGTAGTAGTAAAAATTTAAATTTATATTCCTTATTGGGTTTAAGTACCCTTAAAAATGTAAAATGTTACCCAACTATGACAAGGAACTAGCTCCATGCATTGACTCGCCGATGAAGGTCGTGAGCAAACTTGAATTACTGCCACCGTGCGTCGATGCCAACTGCCAAGCTGTACAAGACCCCCGCATCACGGATGCGCCTGGTGAGGCCGTAGCTGATTCTGTACCTTGGGCGCTGCTAGCGAAAGAACGGCTAGGTGAAGCTCGAGCAACATGCAAATATTAAATGAAGGCGTATCCCTGTACGGATTACGTGTTGCCTTCCAGCCAGAACCTCCGGAGGTGTAGCTTGACCGCGTGTTTAGAGGTGGTGGTGGTGGTGGTGGTGGTGGTGGTGGTTGTCGTCGTCGTCGTCGTCGTAGTCGTAGTAGTAGTAGTAGTAGTAGTAGTAGTAGCAGCAGCAGCAGTAGCAGTAGTAGCCGTAGCAGTGGCCGCAGCAGTAGCCGTAGCAGTAGCCGTAGCAGTAGCAATAATAACAATAGTCAGAATAGTACTAGTAGTCAGTTGTGGTAGTAGTGCTAGCAGCAGAAGTCGTCGTTGTAGTCGTCGTCGGCTTCGTAGTCGTATTCGTAGTCGCAGCCAGTAGTTGCGAGAGCAACCGCTCAGTAGCTTCAGCGCTGGAAACATTTCACAACAGCAACGATGCCGCTCATCGAAGTGGGCACCCGTGCCGAAAGAAGCCCAAAACGCTTCATTCAGAGGCATGCAAAGCTTGCGAAACCTCCGCCTAGATGCATCGGACGCCATGCTCATACTCTGGCGTCTGGAGAAGCTTCGGGACTGGATCTTTGACGGTGTCTGGTTCTGAAAGATGATCGGTTGCCGTTGACAGAGCCGGCAGGCTCAGGGTGCGTCTCATTGGTTCCCCCTGGCTGGGGATGAATTCCAAGAAGGTCTTCTTCTCCACGAGACTGAAGTTCATCACCTCCTCCACCCTTGGTTCCCGAGATCTGCAAAGCAACAGGAAAAAGACTGGGGCGTGACACTTCAGTCGGGCATATGAAAAAAGGAGGTCTCAGCAGTGCCGAGAGTCTGCACGGAAGCCATCTGCTAACTGTCAACGCCGTGGTTCTCTTGCTTCCCGAGTGGCTGCGGAGTCACAACCGAGA